TCCTCTCTCCCTCCCTCCTCCATGTTGTGTCGGCCTTGATTAATAGTCAGGTGTCCCGGCTGTTTACCCCACCCGCCCTCTGAGCTGATTCCCCATCTACTGATCAAACGCCACCATCTGGGGACCCGCTTTTTACCCCCTCAGACAAACGAAGCATCAGCCGGCCCCCACAGGTCAACCAAAGGTCAGAGCCTATAGAATGAGAGGAGGGGCCGGAGAGAGTCACCTGTCCCCGCCTGCAGGACGCTCTGACAAGCCACTTAGGCCTGAGTAATTCCTCTGTCAGCGTTACTGATGAGGGCCCAGACGTGCACGTGAACTCGCTCAGCGCTCAGCGAGGCATTGGTCAGGATCGCACATCCTCTGCATAATGTATCAGGTTTTCACTGGGAGTCAAATGGCAGCGTTGGCAGAATAAGTGAATAAGGGAAGGCTGATTGTGTTTTGGGTGGATCGGTCTGCATGTGAATTAATACTCTACAGAGAGCTGAAGCTTTGCAGCAGAACAGATGAAAAACGAGTTGAGATTCTACCTAACACTCCCACACACACCTATACTGCCACACGCGCGCACGCACACAGTGTCACAGAGGAACTATTAGAGAGCCAGCTGTCCTCGCAGGTGCAGTTAACATTAAATACTGCCCGTCTCTTTGCCTTCACAATGTACTGGAAATGGAGCTCGATGTATCATTCAACTAGTTTTACAATCTTTTTACAGTTTATATTGTAAGCAAATATTCTTCAGTTTCACACCCAGTCGCAGTGAATGAGACCTGAGGACATCTGAATGCATTCCAAACCTCACAAAGCCTTAATATGTGAATGTTGGAAACCTCCTGCCGTGTTTTTCTTCTTCACTGCTATCTGTTTTGGTGCATAAGGGCAATCAGTACAGCTGTTTTTATCATTTGATTGTATTTGTTGTTGCGATGTTCACCAGGTATTAACAGCGCGTCCCTGGGAGCATCTGCACCCACTTTGCTCGCATGGTGTTGTAGTGTTTTTGAACCCGCTCAATAAAAACATTCCCATCCCAAAAAAAATGCAGACAACCCATGTTAAGCATTAAGAGTCATTTCTTTAGTGCTTCAGTTTGTTTTCACACCTGTAGTAATTAGACTGCAAATCACTTGACAATCTCCTGGTGGCCTTTGTCTTCTAATGCCCTTTGAAATACGGGCCATTCCACATCTTAAATTAACGATGAAAGAAAAGTAAGAAAGAACAAAAGAGTAAGTAAGGAAATAAGGACAGGAAATAGAGAAATGCGTCAGTGAAGCAAAGTTGTCCCCCCCCCTCAGTGTCACATTCCCCCGTGTAGAGACCCCCAACAGCTCCCTCTGTTGTAGGCAATTTCACAGCCCGTCTAGCTTTTGGCTTGCCTCCCCAAACCTTTGATAGCTAGCATTCACATGTGCACACACACAGGCACATCTATCACACACCTCTTAATTACATCTGCTCATAGCCTGTCCAGAATGCTAAGTAGCCGCGCAGCAGAAAGAGTGGCGCCTCAGACGCTCCTAGACCTCGAGCCGCTCATTAAAATGCTGTCCTTTGATCCTTCCTTCAACTCTCCTCCTGTGCCGTGTAGGAATTAGACGAGGAACATAAAAGACACCAGCTTGACTTCAGCTTTCACTTCAAATTGGTCCGTTGAGAATTTATCATTCATGATAAAAAACGAAATAACTGCAATTGACAAAATGTCCAATGTAAAAGCTGTTAATTAAAACAGATGATAAGGTGTGCTTAATGAGAGTGTGAATATTCATGTGCAACGAACTGTTGGATTCCTGAGAGAAGCTGTTTTTACTACCACAAATGAACCACGAACAGATTCAGATAAATATATCCAATTTATTGGCTGAATGCTGCATTTTATTTAGAAATATTGGCAGAAATAAGATAGTATACCTGCCCATACATTAGTAATGCTGTCCGTACTGTAAGCAACACACAGGGATTCAATCTGTGATTTCCATGCCTGCAAGGTTGGGAAGTTTCTCACCTCATCAAAGCATGCATCTTTCTGACTTACTTTGTATCATAATAAAACATTCAGAAAGACTGAAGGTGATTACTGTTATTTTATAGATGCATTTCTACAGATATTGGCATAAATCAGAGCTACGATCTGCTCTAAACTGATACTAAAGAGCCAATTTGACTTTGATGTGAAAGTGTGAGAAGTCACCTGGTGGCTTCAGATGAATAACCGCTCTCATGCTCTGCCAACTTCCCTCACAGTACAAACATTCTGCTCTGAGAGATATGACATTCAGTCTCAATTACTGCTAATGGGTACATTAACATAGTATCAAGGGCTCACACACACACACACACGCACTAAACTAATGATACACGTTTTACTGTTGCCAGGAAACGGACTCTGGGGTGTACACCTGCCTGGCTTCCAGCTCCAGTGGAGAGACGAGTTGGAGTGGAGTGCTCACTGTCAAAGGTAAATTGTCTCTGCGTGATTTAAATACATGCAAATGGCAGCTGCATGAGGTGGAGGAACACAGAGACGGAACATTTCCTAGTTTAACTCTTTCTACTGCTGAAAGCTAGGGCCACATTTTCATCATAGGTTATGCTGCAGATATTTCGTTTTAATGTTTGCATAAAACAGAGAAAAGCATGACATCCCAATACTTGAGAGACATCATTTTGCCCATAGGAATTATTGTCTTTATTTTTATATTCCAAAATAATCGCTCTTCTAGTATTGCACTATCATTATTTTGGCTAATTTTGGAAAATGTTCTGTAACACTTTCCTGTTTTATTATGAGCAATGAAATCATGAGTTAGTAGTTGTAGTTGTAATGTGACAGCAGATAGGAACATGTTCACACAGAGAAGTCATTTGACATGTTTTACAAAACATAACAAGGTTCCTTTTGACTCTTTAATAATCCATTATGTGAAATAAACAGGTTTATTATAATAATACAAATATACGTTTTAATCAATAAAATCAATTTTAATCAATATTTTGTGCCAAATGATGAATTTATTTATTTGACGAATCAGAATCGAGTAAAGAGCAAGGTCGTTAAAAACATTGTTTAGAAACATGAAATCAAAACATGTTGCCCTCATTCAGGACCTTATTGTGAGATATTGTCGGCCACTTGAAAATATTTTAAGACGTAATTAGTGGCTTGAAATACAGACTTTATTAACAAGCTGCTCTTGTGACTCTGAACTTTGTTTGGACTTTTATTTGCCTTAATTAAGATCCAAAAGTTGTTGTAAAAAAAGTGAAGTCTGTTAGAAGTGAGGAAGCACCGCCTCCCCGGCCACGCTGATGCAAAAGTTCAGCCCACAGGAGCGCATTACTCAGAAGACGCTCTAACAGGCCTGGTTACGGCGGGTGTTGCAGTTATAATCAGATGTGAGTCCACCCTCATCGCTCTTCTTCTCTTTCTTCTCCACCTCCCTCCGTCCTGCCTCCATCTCGCTCCTCCCCATCAGAGAGTGCAGACCCCTCAGTGGCTCAGGCCTCAGAACCCTTCCAGCTGCCGGGCCCCCCCCACAAACCCATGGTCACAGACGTGTCCAAGAACAGTGTGTCTCTCACCTGGCAACCCAACGCTCACGAGGGAGGGGCCGCCGTCACCTCCTACATCATCGAGGCCTTCAGGTGAGTTTACCCCGATCTGAGTTACATAAAGGCAGGTGTCAACACACACATGGACACACACTTTCCCTTACATCTGTTTGTCTCAACGATCATCCAGACTTTTGAGTCAGAGACCCTTGACTGCCTTACAAGAAGGCTAATCCTGCAAATCATTCAATAAACATTCTTTTAAAGCAGTCAAGGCTGTATTCTCCTTGTATTAAATATCTTAAAATGTGATCATTTTACTGGTGAAAATGTTGGTCTTGTCAGTTGCCACCATAGAAAATGTTTTCAATGTATTAATATTAGACCTTGAAAAGAAGACTCCAAACTTTAAATTAAACGGATAAAATGAACAAGCAGTGTAACAACTCGTGAGGTTGACAATAGATGGCACCACTACACGTCAAGGCAAAGCCACAGCTCACAGTGATGAGTCATTTCCACTCCAGGCCTGAGAGCGCCTCAGCAGGGACTTCAGGGACAGGAAGTGCACCTTGGATTGATTAAGATGTGTGTTATTTCAACACAGTCTCACTCCCTGATAGTCCAATAGCGACGCTTGGTCAGGGTCCCGTGGCGTGCAGTTGTGACGCACCGAGTCTCCTTCAGCTTCATAAACGGACGCAAAGAGCTTTCAACTGATTTCAACGTATTCCCATCGGCGGCAGTGTTTGACGCTCAGGGAAGCACCGCATCCGTCCATGTCGGCGGCAGTTAAAGGCAATATGAGCGTCCATTCCCATTGGATAATGGAGAATTTTACACCCGGATATAAGTATTCTCCTTACTGTACTACTCATCAACTCAAAAATACCAGATTATCCTTGTTAATTACACAACATTGATTGGTCTAAATTGTGTACAATTATTTTGTATTTTTCAAAGAAAAAGAGAAACAAATATGTTTTCGGAGTTTAGGATGGCAGAAGACACTACACTACCCATAATCCTCAGCTATCGTTTGGGACTACACCATGTGCTTTGCTTGACAAACCCTGTGATAAGTCCTCAAGCTCTGTGATTGGATGTTGGAGTGGCAGTGTGCCAAGGTTACGCCGAGCGTCAAACAGCACTTTGAAACTGAATGAAGCCCATCGACGGCACACTATTCAAAACAGGACTCGAACTTGTCCACCGGCTTTCTTTTAAGGTTAACCTGGTATTTTTACTCCATTACATTTAGTTTAGTTACTTTGCAGATTCTGATTAATGATGTGAAATATAATCAACCCTTAAATCAGACTTTAGTTACACCTGAGTAAAATTCAGGGAAGGTGATTAAACATGTATCTGCAGATCCCTATAAAGTATATTCATTACTCGTTATTCTCTACTAATAATTCATTAAAAACTGTATATAATTGCTATTTTGCACATCCCTTTCAAGATTTATTGACATATCATATACACAACTACGGTGTAGTTATGCAGTGAATTAAAAACTTGGGTCACAGGTTCCTCAACAAGAGATCAATCAATATGTGTGTACCTCCACCATTAAACTGTCATATTCTGCACATTTCTTATTGTATCTACATACATCTTCTAAGAGTATAATTCATATACATATTAATTATACTCTTAGAAGATGTATGTAGATAGAATAATAAATATCGGTTAAAATAAGTGCTTCAACATAGTTAACATTGCAGGAAAGTTGATTGTTAAGTCCCAAAACAAACCATGCAATATTATTAAACGTTAAGTACTTTGTCAGGCTTAATATTTATCTGTATATACCCCAAAGCTTTTTTCTTACATGTATTTAAAAGAAGACCTTAACCTAAAGTATTCTTTAATGTGTTAATAAAGCCTAATTAGTTTTTCTGTTTTGCACATCCTCATATTAATATCTTTGTACATCCGGCACTAAACTGTTTTATTCGAGAGATCATTTACAGTATCTTCTTGATATTTTCTATTCTATATTTATATCATTGACCTTCTACTTTCCCCCTAGCTAAGAGGCTGCTCCGCTGCGGTGTGAAGAGGAAAACCCGGTGCTTTTCAAGCTCCAGCTCCGAACCGGCCCTGAAACACCGTTGGTGTGAATGACGTATTAGCTCCGGAATCCGGTTCGTTTCAAGCACCAACAAATTGTCCGGCCAGAGCAAAAGCACCACATACGTCACGCTTACGTCGAGGCGGGGCAGAGACAGATCAACTCCTGAACAACAACAAAAAGCCCGCGTTTTATCCAGTTTGTACACAACGATGGAGAAACTTAACAAGAGTTTCAGTGTTTCTGCCATAGACTGTTTCTGCTCATGGTGAAGCAACGTGTCTGCGTGTTAAGGTGGAACCTGAGCATTCACGTTGATCACCTCTCATTATAACTCATTATAAATCTATAAAACTATAAATATTAAACTTTACTTCACGTGTTCATTTGAGAACAGCTGTTACATACCTGGGTGAACTTAGGTTACAGTTCATTTAAATGAAAGATACAACGTTACTCCACACTCATGGTTCAGTCCACCTTAAGAAATAAGACCGACCTCGGAAGCAGTTGTGTTTTAAAAAAACCTTTATTGACACGAGTACACTTTTTTATAAGAATATAACTAAACCACAGAAATGACTCCGGAAAAGCTGCAGATAGAGCCATAAGAAATTAATGCAACTGATTTCATCCGCGCGGTTTGGCTTTATGAAGCAGGCACGCAAACGGTTACGTCATGACGCAAACGATGACGCAACGACGCATCACCAGTCGGACTCTGGGCGGTGTGAAAAGAGCCAGAGCTAAACCGAAGAACTAGTTCTGAACCTGAAAAGCTTTAGCACGGAGCTTGAACCGGAGTTGCGTTGGTGTGAATGAGGTAGAGAGCCAGCTATAGTAACTCAATGAGAGAGTAATGTCGAATGACAGTACAATTGACCAATCATATCTTCCCTCTAAATGGGCCGGCTTTATTTTCGCGGACTTTATGACAAGTTCCGCCCGCTGTGAGGTATATGCAAGTGGTGCAGTGACGCGTCCTAAAACCCGGACGTAAGCTTCGCTCGGATTCCCATGGGATTCCCTCGACATGGGATTTCTCCGACATGGGATTTCTCCATAGGATTTTGGAAAATAGCTCGAAATAAGGTCTGTGGAAAACGAACCTGTAAGATGCACGTTTTGTTCAGCCGGATAATATCCACATGTCTACCCTACTTTTATTATTTTCGAATCATAAATCTAAACGATAGATTTATGATCGATAGATTTATAATTAGCATAAGTTTGTTCATGATGGCTCACTTCAGTGATAGTGATGACATCGTTGCGAAATTATTAACCGAGTCATTTTCAAGATTGAGTTACAATGATAAACTGGAGTGGCAAAGGATCAGCTGCATGACCCGCCATCAAGTGCTTCATCCAAAAATGGCAGGAGGATGGACTTTGTGTTTCAGTGATTTGATCATCAAAGGTAGGCCTAAGTCATTTTCAATGTGGGCCGCCGTGCCGACTTAATTCATTTGTAATTGTTACTTGGCTGTGGGTGCCCTGTCATGATAGGTGTTTATATAAATGGTGTTGTTTTGTGTGGTAGAGGGTCGCTGTCATTGATGCGTTTTGCACCCCGGGCCGCTGTTTTGATATTCCGCTGAAGTATACGCTGTGACGTAATATCTCTTCTTTTTTTTCGAGGGAAGAGGGGTCAGAGGGCCTAGGTATAAAAGTCACGGCTCGCCACTGCGTTAATGTCAGCTAGCTAAATTCACTTGCGCGACTCTGGGATTTGTAGTCTTTCTAGTTGCGTATTTTTCATAGTCTTATATTTCAACAGTTTTAAGACAAACTGACTTTTTTGACATGGCAATTCTTTTTTAAGATTGACAAACATCATATGTGTAATTCATGGCACAATTCAAACGGGATCGAAAGATAATCTTTTTCCCCATTGACTTCAATACATAATTTTTCAGAAATAAGGTACCATGGGGCGGAAGTAGATGGGCGTGACTTCGCCACTCTAGTGTTTGGAAAATTACACTCCTAGAATTAATGTGTAATTTTTTTTAACACACTGCTGTGTCAAAGGCAATTCAACACATTCAGTGTCATTTCTGAACTATTTTACATGTGTGTAAAAAAAAATAAAAATGCACATAGTCAACACATTCCAGGGGCGTCGCCTGGGGTAGGCATCCGGGGCTTTAGCCCCGGATGTTTTTTCTTTAGCCCCGGACAAATTCTCCCTCAATAATATAATACATTAACCTACTTTACCTATAGGACGGACGGCAGAATTGTAATTTCCCATGTTCAGTGAATGCAACACAGAGGCAAGACGACGCCACCAGACCAATCAGAGAGTTGCATGGAAATAAACGTGTTTTATTGGCTGACAGGTACGTACCTCTCCTCTGTGACAATGTTTAAACTTTAAACTGTCAGCCCCGGACGCGGAGATTCTGAAGATGGACATTAGACATTTATTTAATAAAAAAGACGGCAACTCTCAAGTGGTGGCTCACACAACAACCCCAGAGCCACCACCTGAGCGAGATGAACAAGGTATGTACCTGTCAGTAAACTTACAAGTTATGCGAACATGTAAGCAAAGCATACATTATAGCTACGTTGACGTTACTTTGAATCGCGCGGGTAAGCTAAACCGTTAGCAAGTAGCTATAGCTAGCCAGATATATTAAATAAACACTTTGTCATACAATCTAAATGTTGTGTTTTTTAGCGTTACTTGGTGATTTCAAAGAAAGCTCTCTGGGAAATGTTGAATTACTGTCTGTGTTCGACATGAAGCTAGAAGCTACCTTACTACTTAGTAGTACACAGTTGATCCTGATTCCTGAGTCCTGTCAGTTAAAGTAATTCATAGTTAGCTTAGCTAAGCATCAACCTAGCACTGAAATATATATATATGGATGTTATGTGACAGTATTTCTGAGAAAAAGTCAGCTGAAATGGTGGCATAGTTGCCACTGCTTTACGTATCGACAGCATATTTGAACGTATTTGCAGCAGTAAATGTGGCTGTCTGGCCACTGACGTTGCCATA